TGTTAGTAAATGTTGACCGATTGACTGAGCCTGTTTTACCATGTTTTCTCTCTCACCACCTTCTGGATGGTGACATACACTGGAAGGATGAATGACTATAGATGAGCATAGACCAATACCTGTTGGGACCTGAATATTATGCTGTGTGGTGTCGTAGCTGTGTGATCTGGAGAAAGTGTCTTACCTTCTCCAAGCTTCAGTTTCTTTATACCCGAAGATAAGATCCCTCTTTTACATGGTTACTGTGAAGGATTGGGTGAACTAAGATGAATACAGCATGTCATCAGGAGCCTGACCCAAGCCTTCCTTAAATGGGTGCTGCTGTCCTCATGGGTGAGTGAGTAGGTGGCGGCTTCCTCTGTGTCCTCACCTCAGCATACAGCCAGGAGCCGATTTCTGAAGATGGGTCTGGTTTCTCTGCCTGTCATATGCTCTGTCAGCACCCTTCTTCAGGAGAACATCCTCAGATCTCGTCACAGGTTATATTCACGCTCTTCCATCGCAGACTGCTGGTTGGTTTCTGTGACCAGGTGAATGCCCATTGTCACCAGAGGTTCTGCTTCTAGCCTGTGACCTTCCCTCACTCCTTCTAGCCTAACAGACCCATTTCATGGATCCCATTGCTTCCAGTAACTCGTACTTGAAAGGATATTCTTTGCAGAATCAACCATTTCTTTCTAAAACTCCAGTCAACCCAGTCCCTCGGTTATAAAAGCCTTAAGGTTGGATGCAGGTTGTTTGGGACTGGGAAAAGACGTTTTGATGTGTGAGGGGCCTCACTCGCCTGGGCTGGCCTTTGTTGCCTCCTTTGCCTTTCAACCTCTTGGATCTTTTATGAAAGCAGAGGAACAGCTTTCATCTGAGGCCACTGTGGCGGAGCTCCCTCCCACCGCCGCAGGAAGCGCTTGCTGGTCTTGTGAATCCCACACAGTGACTGCCACAGGGAGGCCTCAGGATTTCAGCTGACTTGTTTGTACATCTCCGAGATGTCACGATGACTTCAGTGTTGTTACCCGAGAGCTCGGCATCTTGGAGGAGAGACTATGAGCTTCCCAGAGAAACCTTCGTTTCTCAGGACCCATCTGTCTGTCTAGTTCTAGTGGCCACTCCCCGTCTTTCTAAATCTCACTGTGGTCTTTTAACAAGTACCCCCTTCCCCACTCCAAAGCTCCGTTCTGTTAACACGAAACAATATAGCAGACATAAAAACAGTTTGCGACTGTCCCCAAGCATAGGAATGAATGGACAGAGGCCTTTTGTCTTGTTTTTAGAACTCTCAGTCTCTCTAACCTTAGCATACAGCTGCAGGGGAGGGAAGATTGCTTTAATCGTCAAGATTGGTTATTTGGGAACAGATAAGATAGCTTAAATCAAAAGAACACACAGTTGAGGATTGTCTGAGGTGGGGGGTGGGGAGGGGACTGGTGTGGAGTAGCTTACTGAAGGGGAAAATATTTTTAACACGGGAGAGGGGTGCATGATGGGAAGTTTGAATGGGCAGAATGGAGCCAAATAATGGAGCTGAGAAACTGGACTTGATGGGATGTGGTTCAGAAAGTCATTAGAGGCTCGTGAAAGGGGAACCCGGGATGGTGACAGAGGTGTTTGGGATTTTTCGTTTTGGTTTTTTTGTTTGTTTGTTTTTGTTTTTGATTTTGATTTTGTTTTTTGTCTAGCTTTAAGATTAACTCTAAGCTTGGACTCAAGATCTGTGACAGCAGAGGTGGGAGTTTTCCAGGCTGAGTGGTAAGGGGACACGTGTGAGGTGAGGTGAGGCTCTGATTGGTTGGCATTTAGGACTGAGGAGAGAGCGCTCACCTGAGAGAGGTCAGAGGCCCGTGTGCCTGTACTCCAGTTGGCGGAGAACAACACACAGATGTGTGAAAGAGAACTAAAGATAGGAAAACCTGTGGCAACGGTGGACAAAGGCCAACCAGGCAAAAACTCAGCAGGCAAGATGGCTTCCAGTTAAGACTGCTGGGTTGCTGCGGGCAGGAGGAAATGCCTGAGTTGTAATGGCGGTTGGTGGGTGGACACAATGACCCCTGGCAAGAGCGAAAGGTTGGGGTTTATAGTATCAATTTAGGAGTTATTACCGTAATATTAGAAATGAGTGTGATAAGCGAGGTGTGGTGGCTCATCCCCACAGTCCTGGTACTGGGGAGGCTGAGTTAGGAAGAAAACCACAAGTTCTAGGCCAGCCCGGGTTACAGAAAACCAAAACAAATGAAATAAATAAGTGGATAAGTCAAGGAAAAAAACAAAGCACCAACAATTGGAGTAGTCTGTTTTCCACACCCAGCGTAGGAATAGGACATAAAGGAGCCACTGAAGAACCCAGGAAGGACAAGAGGATAGAAAGGCATGGGGACAGTCAGAAAATGTCATGTTCTGAAAGCTGTGGTCAGGGATGGAGGAAGGGAGGAGAGGTCAGCAGAGTGGAAAGCAGGGCAGATAAGAATTCCTGATGGCTCAGTAGACCAACACATTTTCAGCATGCATAAATTCAACTTCTAGCATAGGAATAATTAAATAAGTAAATAAACACAATTAAAAACACAACTCAGAAGAAACCTTTGCATGTAGGAAGGGCAAGATGTTTATCTCCAGGACAAACAAGCCCTCCTCTCTGAGATCCAGCATGGAATGGATTCTGGAGACATTGGTATCACACTTAATACCGTAGCTCAAGTGTCTCAAATCCCTTGAATTGATGTTGAGATGAGATGTATAAGATGTATAAGCATGCCTACATAAACTTGTAGGCTTATGTTCCTACATTTAATGTGGGGGAATCCTAAATCTATACTTCAGTTACAAAGTGGAAGAAAATAAACATTGCCTCTGTTAGAAAAATGTGAAAGAGAAAGGTGAAGTTCAGATAGGACTGTGCTTTTATATAATGGATAATCTGAGACAATAAACCACTAAAAGGAAGTTCCAGATTGCAGTAGATGAGACTTTCTCTCCTCCATCTTTATTAGTATGGCAGCAGATGCATGGGAATTTACTAGATGGTGAATCCATCCACAGTTAGCCACTCTGTAAAGATGCTATTGGGCTTCAACTATGCTGGAGATTTCATGATCCGTCATTGTCAATCTTTTCATAGCACATAGTTCTCCTAAAATGTTCACAAATGACCAGGATCTAGGTGTATCCAAGTTAGTGATGAGCAGCCCAGAGCCAGAGAACACTGGGAGTGCATTTTGAGTGACTGAATTCAGTAGACTTGGCAATGTTGTCTCTTTCTGTTTACTGTCCGGAATCAAATGAAATCACATGAAATGTTCAGGGAACTCATCCTGGCAGGAGCAAAGAGCTTGCTGCTGCTCATTCGTCTGCAAAAGTGTGGGCTCTCAGGATCTCTCTATGTTTTTAGGAAGTAATCCTCAAAATTGGAACTAGACTGGAAAATGCTACCCAAAGGATGCCACAATGTGTTGGTGTCCGTGTACATTATTGAGGTTCTAGATTCACACTCCGATCTTTGTTCATGGTACACACACACACACACACACACACACACACACACACACATATACATATACAAACTGAGCTGTGTCTTTCTTCCAGCTATGAGGATTTTGTTAAATCATGACTCTAAAGAATAAAACGCAATTAATCTTATTCCCAAAGTGTTAAGAAAGAAAGAAAAAGAAAGAAAGAAAAAAAAGGACAATTAACATTAATGAAAACACATTCCTCACATTTTTTGAGAATCAAATCTCATTAAAGAAAATCTCTTGAGGAGATCAAGAGCAGCTTAGTAAAGGGCAAGGCTACAAATAGATGTGATTAATCAACAGAATGTTGAAAAGTTGACCTTGCTATGTGTGTTAGTTAGAAGCAAACATACCTTGTTTCAACCTCAGAGTTAAGTTTGAAGGGGAGAAAGTCAGGCCTTCATGCTAGCAGAAGCAGCAAAGTGGTGATCAGCTGTGATCCTCTGACTTATTGATTGATGAAGAGTGTGGATTTTTATTCCTGGGCCCACCTTCCTCAGTGTACTGTACAGTGCACACATTTGGATAAGATTTCTTTTCCACCTTTCCTGTAAAGCATGTAGAATTTTAGAAGAGGCAACATGGCATGTCCACAAGTAAAGTGCCCTTTAATGTTATGAAATAAGAGGTTCACGCAGATATGAAACCAAGTGTTGTATGTGTGTATGTGTGACTGTGCGTATGCGCATGTATGTGCATGTGCTGGCCGGAGGTTGATGCTAGATGCCCTTCTCAATCACTTTCCACCTTGTCTTTTGAGATGGAGTCTCTCACCAAACCTGGAACTCACCAGTTCCTCTTGGCTGACTGTCCAGGAAGCTCCAGAGGGCCTCCTGTCTCCATCTCCCCAGTGATGGGAATGTAGGCATGTGCCACTGTCACCAGCATGAGAATCCAAACTCAGGTCCTCAATGCTTATACAGTAGATATTACCAACTGAGCCATCCTGCCTGTCTTTGAATCAAAACACTTAGCAGTTAGTGTGGCCTGGATACCTATCTGGTCATATCAGATGGCAGCCCAGAAAAACTGACCCCACTATTCCAGTGCATGAGAACGGCATGCCAATCCTGGCTGTATATAATGTGCTGCAGGATTACATATTAGTGTAATTGCATATTTGATTCAGCTGAATTCTTGCATCTATGTAATGGGTTAACGTGTCATTTCCTTTGGACAGAAAAAAAAACCAAACCCCTCCAATTTCCTAAGTTCCCCACAGAAGCCCTCTAAGACATAGAGATAAGCAATAAACAAATGCTAAGCAGTGGGTTCTAAAAACCTGTATGAAAAGCCTTTAATAAATAGTTGAACTCACTGTCACTGTACTGAGGGAACCCCCATTCAGCATGAGAGTCCACTGTTAGGATCTTTCCTATCAATGAAAGCAAAGGTATGTGTTAAAGGTTAAGAAAGCCAAGTAGCATTACCCTAGGCTAGACCAACCTACTCCTGTAGACCCTCCCATATTGACCTTTATAATATAACAAATACTTTATTTCATTTTCTTAAATATTCCAAACATTCACTTAAACATCCATTTGTGTTTCATGCCATCTTAAAAAAAAAGTAATAATATTGTTCACAAACAAACAAACAAACACCCAACAACTCCAAACTGAAATCATAGTGCAGTATTTACCTAAGTGTGGGCAAATGAAGTCCTGCAAATATGTCTTTTTTCAAGACTCTCAGGAAAGGATAATGAATGTTAGGTAGACTAAAATCCCGGGGTATAAGATAACTCCAAGAAGATTATGTGGAGGCTCTAAGAAAGGTAACCTCTCTTCCATTCTTTCTTTCTTTTTATTTATTTCATGTGCATAACAGTTTTGCCTGCATGTATGTATGTGTACCATATAGATGTCTGATGCACAAGGAAATCTAAAAAGGGCACTGGAATCTCTGGAAATGGAGTCAGAAGTGATTGTGAACTACTATGTGGATCCTGGGTTTTGAACCTAAGGTCCTTTGGAAGAGCAGCCAGTGCTTTTAACCACCGAGCAATCACTCCAGCCCTCCTCCTCCTCCTGTTTTGCTGAAGGTCGGTTTCTGTAAACCAGAACCGCTAGCTAAAGTCACTTGTCTACATTAAGGGCTAAGTAAATCAATGTCTGTAGCTTGTCTAGAAAACGAAATGCCTGTCATACTTTGAATTTCTAAACAACTGAAGCATGAATTCGTTTTAGAATCCTAGATGATGATAGGTTGAGCAATGGTACTGAAATTAGACTTTGTCATGGTTCATAATGAGCGCTTGTGGCCAGGGGAATTCAGTCAAGAGTTCACCTTCCCAGTTTTCCTAGTTTGCTTTTTACCACCAATAAAAGCAGAGCATTCACCGTAGGCATACACACATGCACACAATTCAATTGCTCTGTCAATAGTCTGTCCAGGGTGTTCAGGATGCTTTTGTGCTTGAAATAAATCTTTTACTTTATCACCTTCCTTCCCCAGTTGCCCTACAAATGTCTTGAGAAACACAGTATAAGATGGGAAGACCCCAGAGGTCAACTGAACTACGAGTTAGGTGTAAACTCTAAGGGGCCCCTGCAGCCCAAACATTCCTTCAGAGTAACAGTTATCTCCCAGTATCTACGCCAGATTACTTCCATGACTCTTCCCCAACATTTTCTTTTCATTGTCTGAGTAGCATTCCCTTGATTAGATCTATTGTGGTTTGTTTGTCTCTCTATGCATTGAGGAACATTTGGGTGGTTTCTAGTGTGGGGTGATTATGAATAAAGTCGCTCTATGAAATTATATTCATGTTTTTATGTGTTAATGTAAGTATTCATTTCTTTTCAATTAATACGTGGGGGTAAGATTATTAAGAAATACTCTTAGTGTATGGGATTTTGATCATATTTGTTCTAATCAACTTGAGTATAATTGATATCTTTTGCTTTTATGTCTCAGACTTCCGAATTCTGTACTACCACATCTGTCTTAATAATTAATATCCTAATAATATTGGGTCCCAATCCATGAACATTGTATAATGTTCTACTTATTTAAATCTTTGATTTTTTTCATAGATGCACACGTCTTCTTTACTCACTTAGTTTATCAATCATGGTTTATCTTGTAATTGTTCTCTATCATTAGCTTTCTCAGTCTATGAAGTACATTTTTATTATGTATTTAACATGGCTTCTTGTCCTTTTGTCAAACTCTGCCCTTTGGAAAGATCAGTCCTCTTTGTATCGAATGTTCTTGCCCTCTGTGGAGCCTTTTGAGGCTGTTTTCTTATCTGTTGGTTCATTTGGCTACTTCACTGCCTTCTACACCGGGAAATCGCTCTTCAGCCAGGAACACTCTGTTGCTAATTTCTTTTTAATGCAATAGTGATGCTTTGTTCCTTAAATGGTTACATTAGTTCTGTATTCACCGTTCCACGTTATTCTTTAAAACATAATTTTGTGGATACATGTTTCTAATTCCAGGTACTTAGAGAATTTCACTGCTTTTAGTCACATTGCACTTTCACCTTAGGTTGGGTTCTGTGTGTGTGTGTGCTAGCGCGCGCACGCGCGCGCATTTTACACAGAGTATCAGGCAAGGCCATGTAGCCTGCCATTTAGCTTTACTGTGTAGTCCAGACTCTCTTCAAACTACAGATCCTTGTGCGTCAGAATTATAGCTGCATGCTGTTGGCTGGTTCTTTGTTTAGTGTCCTTGCTTTGCGCCCTACCCCTAAGTCTATTTGTGAGCTTTTCCAGTGTTTTAAAGTCTTGTGATTCTCTGGGTAGTTCTGGCTGCACCATCTCCTTGCTGTCCAGATACTTTGCCATTTCTTCCAAGGCCCGTTTCCCCCTCACGGAGCTGGAGTTTGAGGGCTGAGGATCTCAGTTTATACTTTTTTCTCCTTTTTCTTTCTTTCTTTCTTTCTTTCTTTCTTTCTTTCTTTCTTTCTTTCTTTCTTTCTTTCTTCCTTCCTTCCTTCCTTCCTTTCTTTCTTTCTTCTCTCTCTCTCTCTCTCTCTCTCTCTCTCTCTCTCTCTCTCTCTCTCTCCCTCTCTTTCTTTTTCTTTTTTCTTCTTTTTTTTTTTTTAATACAGGGTCTCATCATGTAGCCCTGACTGTCGTGGAACTCACTCTGTAGCCCAGGCTTGTAGCATGAATCTTAGAAGGTCTTATTAATAAAATCAAACTTGTAGCCAGGTATTGGGGTGAAGCTGGAAGATCAGAGAACCAAAACAAGCCACAGCTACCTCACCTGGCCAATTTCTCAGCTGATCTTGTTTCCTCAGACTGGAAGCCTCTGTGTCCTCATATCCAAATGGATCTCAGCTGAACTGTGCTGCTCCAAAGCCTGAAAGCTTAACCGGCCAAATGCTTCTAGTTTCTGGTCCTCACGCCTTATATATCTTTCTGCCTTCTACCACCACTCCCTGGGATTAAAACCTTGCTTTCTGAGATTGAAGGTGTGAGTCACCATGCTTGGCCATCCTTGAACAGATGGATTTCTGCCTCTGGAATGCTAGGATTAAAAGTGTGTGCTACCACTACCTATCCTAAATATCTAGTGGCTTTTCTGTTCTCTGACCCCAGATAAGTTTATTAGGGTACACATATTTTGGGGAACACAATACCACCACACAGGCTGGCCTCGAACTCAGAGATCTGCCTGCCTCTGCTTCCCGAGTGCTGGGATTAAAGGCATGCGACGCCACTGCCTGGGTGACTTAAATTTTTCTATCTCAGGAAAGCCTAATGCATTTTAAGTTTCAAATTACTCTCTTACTCCGATTAGTGATGAAATCATTTTCTTCCCAATGTCTAGCCAATCTAAACTGTAGTAATTGGACTTTTTAAAAAAAATTATTTGGTTGACAGAGTCAGGTAGTTGTGTATAACCATTTTGATGAGGTGAAGGCCTTAGTGAAGAGCTGTGTTGGTGGATTTAGCACAGAATGAGATCACTGAGTGAGAAAAGTTTGTGGGGCGACCTAACCAAAGGTGCTTTGGGAGGTGGAGGAAAGAGGTGCAGCCAAGACAGACTGCATCTGAAGAGAACTTTTCTCTCCTCTTTCCTGCCTCATCCCTTAAGAACTTGTATGTTCTAGTTGAGAGTTTTGAGCTATACCCCCGGGCCCTGAATATATAAATGTTAAAAAACAAACAAACAAAAACAAAAACAAAAAAACCTCTTGCTCGGCGGTGGTGGTGCATGCCTTTAATCCCAGAACTCCGGAGGCAGAGCCAGGCGGATCTCTGTGAGTTCGAGGCCAGCCTGGTCTACAAAGCGAGTTCCAGGAAAGGTGCAAAGCTACACAGAGAAACCCTGTCTTGAAAAACAAAACAAAACAAAAAACCAACCAAACAACCAAACAAACAAAAAAATTCATTCAACAAGACAAACATTGTTGCTCCAAGTGGCCTTGAGCTCCTGAAGTCTAGCGGTCCTTTCTGTCTCAGGCCCTGGAGTCACTTGGGACTACAGACATGCATGACTGCACTTGGCAGTTCTCATTTTTAAAGTAGCATTAAGTGTTAATATCAAGATTTATCCCTCCTCAGAGAGTAGCTGTGAGGCAACTGGCCCTGTCCAACAGGCCAGTGTGGCTGGCGCTCCTGTCACCAGAAGTGGATTCCTGCTCTGTAAGGGTTATCAGTCCATTCTCCTCTTCAGCATCCAGCCTGTTTAGAAACAGGCTCTTGCTGGGCGGTGGTGGCGCATGCTTTTAATCCCAGCACTCGAGAGGCAGAGCCAGGCCTGAGTTCGAGGCCAGCCTGGGCTACCAAGTGAGTTCCAGGACAGGCTCCAAAACTACACAGAGAAACCCTGTCTTGAAAAACCAAAGGGAAAAAAAAGAAGAAAGAAAGGAAGGAAGGAAGAAACAGGTCCGATCCTTTTGCTTTACCAGTAAAAGCAGAGGCTGCTTCAGGTTAAGACTCTTGCTTGTTGGAGACACCAGTCAGCTCCAGAACCATTCTTTGACCATAGAGTTTTCTAGGATTTAGAATGTTTGTGACTTTTCCTTGTTTGGTTGTTTCTGTGAAATTTCTTGCCTTTTTTTTTTTTTTTGATCATTATTTTTTTCCTTCTTCAGTGTTTAGAACCACTCTTAGATGTTACCCTACAGCTTTTGATGGTTGCTTCCTTGTATTTGTCCCAGCTTC